CAAAGATTGGTACATACAGGTTCTACATACTAATTAATGATTTCGTTGCATTATATATGTCAAATAAAAATCAAATGTTAACATCTAACGAAATATTTATGACCACTGCATATATCATGAAAAACATTATAAATTATCTAATGAAGGAATTTGATCTGTTTAAACATAAAACCATCCTTGTTATTTCATTTACATCGAAACCTGGAAATAAAGAGGATTAAATTCTCGATGCCGATAGCGAGACGAGAGTGAGACGTGAAATACGGTTCTCGAGGGGTTAAAGGCGCGGCGTTTTAAATCGGCTTAACGGGTCAATGAAGTTGGAAAGCACGATTTGCAGAAACGAGGTCAAGGGATGAATCGGAAGAAAAAAGGGATCGCTGGTCGAGTCGAGGGTGTATTTGTTCGAGGTATTTAATTCTGAAATAAATCTTGGTTTTTCTCCCGTCCACCCTTTTCCATTTCTCTTTCGTCGGAGAAGGGCAGTATTCGGGAAGGAATGGCTAACTACGTTGGGCGTTATAATTCCACTCGAGACGGCGAGAGTCGGCGTATCCCGGAATTTCGCAGACCCTCTCTCGTAAACGGAATCGGAAGTTATCGCGATAATACGTATACCTATATGTTGCGTCAGAATCGTAAACTCGGAGCTAGTTCAACTACGCCCGTAAAATTTTTATCGGTTAGCTCGCAGTGAGGTAGTTGCATGTATCTATACTTTTTGTTTTCACAGCGTTTCGATAAATGTTATCAAGCTTACAAGACATAAGAGACACGATCACAGACACAGACACAGACACGATCTTGTTCCTTATAGCACGCGTTAATTAAATACTGATTTTATAATCCTAACTCTCTGTTGAAAAATTGAATAGTATAATATACATTGTAATAACTAAATATTTAGCTTATTATATTCATCGACTAGAAACTCGCATCTTCCCAGATACAATTCAGGATAATAAATAAGTGAAATACGATCGTATATATGATGTACAATCAAATTAAAGAAAACGTCGTTAAACAGTCAGGACTGGATCTTGATTGTCTAATAATATATTATTATATTATAATATATATATTATTCGCGTGAATTTTACGTGCAATTCTCCGCTCGGCAAACAATTCAAGATAACTAAATAAAATTCGGGATTCAGCTCGAAATGAGCGAGGCGATTTAGATTGGGTTTCGACCTAATCGCTCCGATTGAGACAAGTCATGAACGATTTCGTTAGTCTTGCTGGAGGCTAAAGCGAGAGGTAGAGATGCGCTTGCGGTGTCGTGGCCGTCGTTTAAGCCGCGACTTAACTCGGCTTAAAGCATTACTCTTCGTCTCTCTCTCTATCTCTCTATCTCTCTAGCTCACTCTTCTCTTGCTCAGACTTCGGCTTTCCTCTTCGTACTTCCGCCTCGTTCCGCCCCGCTGCGCGGCTTTTAATCGAGCGTCAGCGGATTATCTCGACATCGAATCTACGGTCAACCTGCAAACCACCGGCAAACTCTGGACCTTTGTGCGTCATTCTATCCGCGCGACTCGGATGTCCCGTTTCACGAACTCGCAATCCGAGCGAGCGCGTCCGCTTCCTCCCTTTGACGCGAGGTCAATCGACGTGATGATAGATAAATCCGCGCGAACATGGTATCTTGATGCGATAAAACCTGAAAGAATCATCGGAAGAAAAGATCGGTAGCACATTGTCACAATATGTCATTCTTATATCATTCTTGTAATCATTCCAGTTTTTAATAATGTGATATAGAGATAAATAATTCTATCTATTTGATAGAGTAATATTAATCAAATACTGTAATTAGCATGCATCATAATCGATTGTATAATATCATTTAAATTAATTGATATCGTACATTTAACACGCGGGCTCGTGAACGGTGAATATGCGCTCATTATCGGGAATCGCGGGTTAGATCAACCGTAAATGATATTCCCCGTAGGAACGTTTTAAGCGCGCGTGATCGCGGATATTGTTGATGATCGATCATTTCCAACCACTAGCCGTGATATTTACAGAGACTGCTTGCCGCGCGTGCACCACATAATTTCGCCGCTCTCGCCATCGCCGGAAAGAAAAAGAGAGAGCGAAAGAATGGGCGCCATTTGTCGCGGATCTTATCGGACGGCGGCGCGGCGGCGGCGGGCGGACTCTTCGTTTTAAAAGCGACTCGAGCGTAAATGCGGCCTCGGAACCGCTCTCCGGTCGAACCCTCGAAACGCGCGTCGGGGCCACTGCTTTAGCACCGGATATTTATTACCCCACGGGTGTAGCCTTATCGAGTGGCCTCGCCATGCTTGAAATCGTGAGAATTCCAGCCAAACCGTATACTCTCCGCCCGCCCGCATATATACACATACACCCGACCGTTCTCCTCTTCCCCCTTGCACGTGCAGCACACGAGCGGGATTACGTACGAGTGTGTGCCCGGTAACGGGACAGAATGTAATGGAGAACGGGACGGAATGGAACGAGACGGAGGGACGGGACGGAACGGGACGGGACAGGAGGTGGACGAGGGGAGGAAGGCCTTTGACTGGCGCGCGCGAAGGGGACCAGACCAGCAGCCCCTCAGGTTGCTCCGGCAAGGGTGCGCGATATTGATTCCCACCTAGCATTTACACCGAGCGTGGAAGCTCGGTGTTACATTCGCGACTCTAGTCAATGGGCATGATTCCGGCGCGCCAAGGAAGTCCCGCTACTTTCCCGAGTCGCCGGCGATAGTGTCCCCCGCGAGGATGATTAATTCGACTTGTTTTTAGTACGAGTATTATATTGCGGAACGCGTGTTTGCTGTTGCGAAGCAACCCTAAAATGCGCGCAACATTGTTCAGATTCTATAAAGGGATACGAACTATAAATTATTACGTATACATGATTAAACGCTCACTATGCGTAGATATGAAAAAATGCAAACTTTAAGGAAACTTAATTGAATTATGCGAGACGCTCATCGCAATGTTACGACACATAAAGACACGTTAAAAATTATCTGTATGCGAAAGAGCTGTAGTTCACTTTTTTCATGTTTTCGTGAGTCTTCATTGAAATTCGGATGATTCTTTAATTTTTTATCAGCTGACGATTTATGATAACGATTGTTCGAGCGAGATTACGATTGTGCGTTACCTCGAGGGTCACGGTTAAGCGATACTCGAGTGGAACCCGATCTTCGCATTGATATTCGCGATTATTCGTGCTTGCGCCCTGTCTCGCCCCCGTCACCGGTTATTTCGAGCGCGGTGGTAGGAAGTTACGGTGGTGTTGGCGCGTGTCCCAATACGTACGGCTCTTCCCGCGTTATATACGTTTACAGCTTTCCGATATCTAACTTCTACGCCCCTTTTTCCACATCTCAATGAGCCACGACGCGAACGAGCCCGCGTACACCGGCACACATACGACACACACACACACACCATCCGTCGCCGCTTCTCTCCCCCTTTATATCGACCAGCTCGGATCGATAGCGATCTATATTACAAGCGGCTGACTCCTCGAGTGGAAGACGACGGGGAGTCTTCGACGTTTCACCAATCGCTGAAGAGGCTATTTGCCTCGCGGTGATGGTGATGGTAATAACGGCGCACAGTTCTCCGCGGCTCTATTATGATAACCGAAACTCTTGTCGGAACTACTACTAAACGCGATACACAGTCCACCCGTTCTCGAAAGTTGTTCCTCTCCCCCTCAGACAAAAAGCGATTATCGGTTACGGTAAAAGCGGGAATGCGTTAAACGTCAAGACTCTTTTTTTCATGCTTAATAATAGAGTCTGCGATATATACGTTACGGTGAATTAATATATGCATCATCGGCCAGGCGTGCTCGAACGTGTATCGCAGGAATTTCGTGTAATTCATTATTGTAGACTCAAATATTGTGAAATGAATAAAAATTACAATTTTATTAGGAGATTTGCAAAATCCTAGGTTTTGTCAGTGAAATTGTGAGGTGAGATTTTTATTAATTTATATTTATAAATATATTATAAATTACATTTAATTTTTTTATTCCCAGTTTTTTGTGGATTTTCTAGGAATTTTGAGGAAAAAAAAAAGAATTACACGAAATCCCTGCGACATATATACGTGGAAGATAGCTAACTTTGATCTCGTTGGCGACGTGTGATCCGATTATGTTGCCTCCTGTATCAATCTCCGAGTCGGAGACGCATTCGCGCGTGTTCGGAATTGTCGTTCGATAGGTCCCTCTTGCCACCCCTCGAGAAGATCTTATCTTTCACGATGCCACGAGATTAACAATGTGAGATCGAAGTTGTTCGAACGAGAGCGAAGACGAAGAAGACGGAAGGAGGAGAATCTGCCTCTTGTAACAGACAAATACAAGACAATGAAGATTAATGCTTCGGCCTCGTTTTCCTCTCCTGCCTGCCGGCCATTCCCCTGGTCGACGGTATCGTGCGAACGTTTCAGTAATCCCTAAGGAGAGGAGTATCCTCTCGGATTCGACTTTGAAGAACTCCGCGGTCTTATAACCCTGACCCTAAATCTACCGTGGTTAACGAATCTTCTCAATGATTCAACGTGAGCGATGACTTTCTCTCTCTGATTACCAATTCTGACGTGATCCCTGAATAAAATAAATGCGATATTGATGTTATGAGTCTAGTCAACTCTAATCGACATGACTCATGAATAATTCTCATAGATGACTATAATACGTAGAAGATGACTTTGTTTCTAATCCATCAATTTTGATGGCAATGATTTCCTATTGCGAAACGAGAATGATGTAATTAATTTTATTTTATCAATCTACAAATTTTATTAAAATAACTCAATATGAATAATCATCACAGTAAGATTGTTTTGTACGAGGACACATTTGCCTTTCGAATTGATTAGATAAGTTTCGATGAAGTTATATACATTCTTATTTAGCTTGTAGACATGACTATTGTATATAGATATTTAGGGTTGCATCGCACACAACAACTTTAATCGATAATTACTTTGTCATTGCAGATTAGCAGTTGGTGTGACATGGATGTGAGCTTCACGAACGTGTTAGAGGGGGCTCGCCAGTACTTCCAGGGACTGCCCGTACCGAGTACAGGTAGTGGCGCGGCCACGTCGGTGGATCACAATCTCCACTCGACATCCTCTACGAATCCCGCCTCGTCCACATCGGCGACGACGCACGATCATGACGCACCGTCGCAGCCGACTCAATCAACTCAGTCAATCTCGATTTCCGCCAATAGCAGCAGCAATAGTAGTAGCAGCAGCAGCAGCAGCAATAGCAGTAGTAATGTCCAGGAGTCGAATCGTTACTCCGCCGACATTAGACCTTCGTCGTCCGTGGAGAGTAGCAATGCGGCTGCCGGATCGAATTTCTGGAACCCGCACGTGGATCCGTATGCGCCGCAGCCGACCAGGGTTGAAGTCCCGGACACGAGGCCAGGCGACGAAGGCTCCGCCATGGAACCCAGCTCCTCTTCCTCAGGCACTGTCACTTTAACCGAGATGCAACCCTCAAATTATCAATCCTCGTCCTCCGTCGTCGCGTCATCGTCGAATTTCTCGCAGAGACCGCTGCCGACGTCGTCGTCATCATCGTCGTTGACCTCCTCCTCCAGCGATCACAGTCATCATCAGTCTCACCTCCCGACGTCGAATTCATCGTCGCATTTGCATCAGATGCAGCCGCCCCAACCGCCACATTCCCCCGGACCGGTATATCAGCAACTTAGTAATGTCAGCAGGACGTCCTTCAGTACGGCGGAGATGCTCGCCTCTTCTTCGTCGCACTCCGCTTCAACCTATCAGACTGCCAATAACGATAGGCAGTCACAGCCGATTGTCGCGCAGAGAACTCAGTACTATCCACGTTACCATCACCCAGATATCACGAAATGCGCACCGGCCCCGTATTCGCAGAGTTCCATTTACCAGTCCGCCAATGTAGCGCAGCCCTCGAGTATGGCTCAGCAACCGAGCACGAGATCGACGCCAATAGAGCAGAATAATACTACGACATCGTCCAACGTCGTCACTCAAGGACATTGTCCGTCGGAGCAGCAACGAATACCTGGTACTTACGGCAGCAACATACCACTCACTCAGAATTCTCTCGGTGGATCGACTGCGTACGGATCCGGCTCTACTACATCGTCTCAGAGTTACCGTTCCACGAGTCAGTACCAACAGCAGGTTCATCGTTTGGCCGCTTCTGCTTCGAGTGTCAACGACAGGTCGCATAGCTCGGATGGGTTGCACTCTTCCACCGCGGCCTGCTCCTCATCGTCGCAGGCGGTCAGTCCGCGTCAGCCCGGACCAGGAAACTCCTCCTCCAATCACATTCCTTCGCAATCGCAGTCGCAGAATCTTCCGGGTCACATTCCTTCACCGCATCTGCCGTCCGCCGCCACCTCGGTGCACTATCATCAGCACCAGCAGCACCAGCAGCAACAGCAACAGCAACAACATCAGCAATCGTCGCCTCTGCAGCAGCAACAGCAGCATCCTAGTCGTATAAATGCGTCGCCACACTCGCACGGTTCTTCGTATGGAGGCCGTGTAGTTTCGATGCCACCGCACGGCGTCCCATCGTCGTCCTCCGCTGCCATGGTAGCGAACCATTCACAGCAGCAGATGCCACCACCCCCGAGTGGATATCATGCAGGAACGACGCCGTCGCCGCATCACGAGCCGTCGCCGCGTCACGCAACTCCGTCGCCGCATCACGCGACGCCGTCGCCACAGCGGCAGTCGCCTCATGTGTCCAGCCTACACAATCCGCACGCCTCTCCTTCTCCTCATCATACACCTTCGCCGCACAACAGCTTCCAGCCGCACTCGCCGACCTATCCGCCGCCTCCGCCGCTGCCACCACAGCAACAACAGCAGCAACAGCAGCAGCAACAACATCAACAGCAACAACAACAACAGCAGCAGCAGCAGCAGCAATCGGTTTTATCGAGGTCGACACCACATTCGTACAATCTACCACCAGCCACCTCGCAGCACTATCAAACGAATTACGTGGCGGCGGTTCGTGACGCGGCGATGGGGTTGCCTTACGCACCGCCGCCACCGTCCCAGTCTTCGTACCATTCCTTCCAGAAGAATCCACAACCGGAGTCTCAGGGGAGTAGCTACTACTCCCAGCCAAGTCGGTCTCACAGTCAATCTTATGGTATGCAGCAGATGCTGGTGCCGCCGCAGACGGCATATCCCAGTACCTCTGGTAGCAACAGTCTAGGTAGCTACCAGCAAAATGCCAACAAACACGCTACGTATAACGGTGCGGATGCCACGAAGAGAGGCACAATTGATGTTATGACGACCCCTTACGGGACGCATCGGTCGTCCACGCAGAGGAACAGCAACACGCATAACTTGCCGCCTATTGCCGCCCTCTCATCCTATCATTCCAACAGGCGAGAACCGTTAGGAAAATCGGCGCAGACGATAGCACGACAACGAATGCATGTGACGAACGCAATCAGTAAAGTCCCGTCTGTCGCGATGCCGCCGACCCCCTCGTCTATAACGATGCCTCCTCAGAGGCTCGCCGAGTACCCAACGACTCCGGTCTCGGATATGAACCACGTGATGCCAGTGAACGGTAGGACAACTACTGTAACGAACATGACGTACAGTTCGCGATACAGCGGTCAGCAAGGCTACCCGTCGTCATCATATGCCACCACGATGGCGCCTAGTCATCATAGTAACAACTCCACTAGCAGCACCACAGTGACCACTATCAGTCAAGGTGGTTCAGGTGGCGCGAGGTCTTCCGTTCCAACGATCCATGTGTATCAGTCTTCCGACGAGCCGGATCGGTCAACGGGATCGTCGTCCTATCATCATCAGCCAACGACACGAATGACGACTGAAGGCTATGCCTATAAAGAATATTCTTATCAGAACCCAGCGTCATCCGGTGGTAGTCAAGCGACCTCGGCCGCCGCGATGGCGAGTTCCCCGTCGCCGAGCAATGCAGTTCGGAAGAGAGAATCTCCTTTGGACTTATCCGTCAAGACAGTCAAGACATCGGCGGATTCTACGGCGCACGATGACCTCGAGACCATCAGCACCGACAAGCATGTCAGTAGCTCGAGCCTGAGTACATCCAGGAATAACGTAAATAGGCCGATGCCACCTCCGACGGTCATGCATCAATCGGCACCGGCGCAACCGTCATACCCGTCGTCATACGACCATAGGCCTTCGAGTAACAGCTCGAGGAATTCCATGCCCGTGACCTGCGTCCGAGCATCGACGCCACAAACGGTGTGCGCGCCCAAGGTCGACTTTCTCCCAGACTTTACCTCGGCGCCGTTACGTCATCAGTCGCATCACGAGAATCCCCTTCGCAGAAGTACTACGCAGCAGCTTTACGTTCCATCCGCTCAACCTCTCTCGTCCCATCACGCGAACACCTCTCCACTGCCTCACATGTCTACGTTCAAGAAGCGCCCACTGCCCACGTCGCCACTATACGACGGCCTGACGATGCCACCTGCGTCGTCTTCGTCGACGTCGACGTCTACGTCTTCATCATACCTCCAGACGAATGATTCGGTGTCCTCGAGGTTCCCCAAGTATCACTCGATAATGGATCCATCTCCGCGATTCGGTCCGCCCACATTGCCCGCACAGGATTACCCACCCGACTCGAGCAAGTACTACTTAGCGGACAGTAGGGCCAAGTTTGACCAGCAATTCTCTCAGCGCGAACGGATGCCGTTTAAAAGAGTTGGAGAGCCGATTTATGGGGTAGGGAGTCCTAACAAACAGGCCAGAGTCGCTTGGCGAGTACCGAGTAGCGAAAAGCAGATTGTTGAACCGAAAGCAATGTCGACCGCGGATGCGCTGAACGAGCAGCAGAAACGGCAAGAGATGAACCTGTCGGTTCCTCTGCCGAACGGAGCTCTGGCGACACCCGGCGCCCACGATCAGAGAACCGACAGCGGCGGTTACTCGGCGCCGGAATCGTCCAGGTATCAGTCGGTATACTGTGATAAAAGGACCTATCCGGAGTCCAAAGTCATACGTAGCTCGCCGTCGTCGTACAATCATCCGGTGATCTCGAAATCCGGGAGTGTACATCCATTACCGCAGCAACTGAGCGGTGCGCAGCTGACCTATCCGAGTTATCGTCAGTCAGTTCAGAAGACAACGTGCCCACCGAACGGGATGTCCGGTGGCCAGCCGATGGATCAACCTAGCAACACCGGCGCCGACAAGAGGGTGCTTAGCTTGCTGAGGAACAGCCTGGAGAACAAGCAACAGAGGGATGAACAGCTTAACAGTCAGCAGCCTATCCTGGTCAATCACAGCCAGCAGAGTTTTCAGAATAAGGTGAGAAATTACAGGTTTCAACAAAATCTAAATTCTGATTTAAGGATATCAGGTATTGGATATTTTTGTCATTTTTTTCGTTGCCGATATGATTCATCGCCGATTTTTACGAATAAAATCGAAGTCTTATAGATCCAGCGTGAATTGTGGCTGAAAATGAAAATAAGCGGCGATTCAGTCTACTTAGTCATTTCTATCTATCTATGTCTGATTTCCAGACGCTCGACGTCTGGTTTGACGTTTCTGATAATTTCCGTGAAATTCCCTCAGGTCGTCGCGCCAGTCGAGCCTAAGAGCATCGGCAGGCACAATCTGTCACCGTTCACGGCGGCGAGTTTGCTCGAGCGTAACAGCAACACTCCGCCGCATTACAAGTTCCACGTTCCGCGAGCGGTAGACTCGATCACTCAGGAGAATCCGCGCAGCATGTACGCCTCGAGAGTGAATGCATCCGCCACGTTACCTGGCAAGGAAGCTTCCCTCGCGGGACCACGTGGCACCGAGAATCAAATACATCGTGACAAAGACGACGGCCTCGCCGCTATTTTAGCTGCGAAGATCAGGACGAAGGCGGAACTGAAACAAGTGCGTGATTGTCTCTATCTAACTCTAATTTGCGCAATTGCATTGATCATGCCGATCTCACGATTTCTGCTTTTCATTTAGGTCGGGACCGGCCAATTTACAACGAAAGCATCTTCCGTACCTTCTCAAGACGTGTCGTCGACGCCGAGAGGTAACTTAGCTTGCGCAAAAGAGTTAGTGGTTATTAACAGATGTTATTTGTGATAATTTTGATCGATTTGATCTGTTCGTCTCAACTCGATCATAGTTTGCGCGATAATTGTGCTATTTATTCAGTTGCGTCAATATGCTGCAAGATATTATTGAAATTTGTATATAATTTTTATTATTATGTACCAGAGATCGATAGTGCGGCCTCAACATCAACGCCGCAGTCTGGCTCGTCTGCGGGTAGCCCGCCGAAATTAACGCGTGAGAAAACGGTCTGTTTGCCGCCCAGAAGACGGTTATTTTCAAGAACTGACGAGGACAACATGCCGGTAGCGGCAACTGTGCCCGTCGCCGCCATCGTCGCGTCCACGGTCCCGGCCAGGGCGAGCGGGTGCAGGAGCTCCTCCGAAACATCGGTGTTCGACTTCCGGGAGAGCGACTCTGAGGGCGAGATGCCAGTTCTCGAGCGACAAACTTTGGAAGAGATGAGAAGAGACAGGAAACAGTTGTCCAAAGTACAACCCCCGATACCCCTCAATGATGCTGTGTGTATGAACATGGCATCCTCGACGGATCTCGTGAAGATAGAACTGAAGGTAACATTATAGTAACAGATAAAAAAAAATTAAGATAGAGAAAAGTAAAAACGAATTATTTAATTTACGTGTTTGAAATATAAAAACGGAGATTTTTAGTTTGTGGTAATAATTGATTTTCTTTGTGTCCATATCGTCAGCTATTCTTTCTTTAAGTTAATTTTCTTTGATACCATATAGACGAGCGCGCGACAAAACAGATATTAACACATTCCGTGCCGCATCAATTTCTGATTTATGTATTGTGAATTATGAATTTAATGAATTATCTTAAAGTAATATTTATTATATTTATACATCCTGTATATTCACTATTTATACAATATATGTATATATATATTTACTTATTTTTTATTAAGATATTTTAAATAAACATTTATAAAAAATAGAACTACTTTTACATTTTTATGAAACGTTTTATGTTATAATATTAAATTTTTGTATATTTTAAAAGATAGTTTTTTTTTATACAATGCGCATATATAACTTTCGCCAATTCTTTCTGTCTTTAAAAATTCTTGTTGTGTTGTTCTGTGTCCACTCGCGTTATAATTTTACTTTATAGGTGTAATCCTTGTTTGCAGGAAAACGACAAAATCAATGATATGGATCCATTTTGGAGTAACACCTGTGATAAGTTTATGGAGCAATTACGCGCGGGTGATTCCGTGAAGAAACGAGGACGTAGAAAAAAAGTGAGCGGTGTCGCAACACCGAAGCTTGAAGACGCAGCTAACGATACCGACAAGGAATCGGATACCAATGCATCGCATTCTCAAATCAAGCCCGAAGACATCAAGAAGGAGATACCGGATCCGTCTAGTAAGGAAGACAAAAATTCGGTCTTTAAGGATATTAAGATCAAGACGGAACCCGGGCTGACGAAAGAGGATGATAAACACTCAAGCGATGATTCAGAAGAAGTGCCATTAATTAAAAGAACGAGACAGGAAATAAAAAAGGAAGATAGTGATTGCGATGAGGAAGTGATATGCCGAAGAAGACGAATTCGTCGTGGTGGCAGGATCAAGCTTGAGTCTTCTAGCGGTAGCGAATCCTCGAGCGAGGACAGCGATGCCAGTACCGAGTTCGGCCATGGTTCCTCAGTAGCGGATAGACTTCGTGCTAGGAAACGATCTATGGCTAACGTGTCCGAAGGTATGAAGCTTCGTTCGAGGGACACTACTCCTCATAAGGCGAAGTCGGAAAAGGAATCCAAATTGTCGCCCTCGAAAAGTGGAACGTCCCAAAAAGCGAAACCGAAACCATTATTTGGTGACGGTAGTGATTTCAGACCCGGTTGGGAAGAGGAGGTTTACGTATACAAAAAATCTCTAAGAATGCCACCCAGGTTGATAACAGTGTCAAAACCATCGCGCTTTCATCGATTGTCGACGTCGTTGCCGGACTTAGATCCCGGCTCGCCAGCATTGTCCGTCTCGATGGACAGTTCCGACGTGTATCTCAATCGTAATAAAAGAGACAGCGACATGGAGTCCAATTACAGTTTCAGCATAATGGGACTCGGCAGTAAGATTGATGACGAGGAGGCGACCTCGTCGACAACGGTTTCCTGTCCTCCGAAAGCTATGATGAAACATTTCCGATCTGAGAACAATTCTATTGTCGATGTTCTCGCGCAGAAGGTCGGAAGTGGTCAGAAGGACTCGAAGAAGAAGCAGAATCCGAAAAGTAATAAGAGCAGTAACATTAATAAGAGCAATAACGAGCCGGAACTTTTACCAACACCAGGTCTCACACCACTTTTGTCGTCCGAGACATCGAAGAACTCCAAAAACAGGATCGCGTTGAAGAATAATAGAAACCCGATTAAAGTTACTAACTCCGTCCTCCTCGGTTATTTCCGCAAAGAGACGGTCAATAATTTCCGTGACGCGTTCAAGAACAATCACACGTTGCCCAACAAATTCTCCACTCTAGTGTTGAAGAGCAGAACGAGAACGGAGACGAAAGTCTTGAAGAAAGAGACGACTATTCGTGAAGTATTTGGTGAGGATAGACCCGCGTCAGCCCCGCCGATGCAGAATCACGACGACACATCACAGGACGACGATTCACAGAATGAAACGCCCGAGAATGCATTAGGCAAAGTACGAACATTAAAGCAAAAAGTGGTGTCCCGTTTAAGGAATGCTGGTATACTACGAAGTCACAAGGCGATTGTGAACTCGAAACGTCGTCTATTAACTGCCGAGAGACGAAAGGATCTACTCAAGTCGCTTGCTAAGAAGAAGTTACGTCGTATCAAGACTGAGATAGAGCAGGAAGAGACGAACGATGCCAGAGAGGAGGAAAATAACGAGATGGAGGATGACAAGAACGATTTGGAAATTCGTAACAAAAAGAAGTTGAAGCTTCGACCAGGCCGACGAAAATTCCGTTCTGGATTCGATTATATTCGTAAGAAGAAGAAGCCGCTAAAGAAAGACGAGGCGTTGCCGAAGGAAAGGAAGAGAGTATGTATACATATTAGATTTCTATGTATATTTTTTGTCTGATTGTTGTCCTCCAGTTTGTTTTAATCTTAAAATTTTCATAATTTTCACGCGTTTGTTTTTTAATACTACTTTGAAACACGATACACTTTACAGCAAAGCCAAGCTAATAAACCAAGCCCGGAGTGTGTAGCCGATATTCAGTCTGAGATCAGGACGTGGGTTATCAAAAAGGGCGTCGGGGAAACCATATTACACCGTGCTGCCCGTCTTGGTTACACGGTAAGATAACGATCACGTTGCTACCGATTGCTACGTCATGCGGTAAAGTTAACCAGCGACTCGCGCGAATTACGATCTAATCTACTTGTATTCCGCTGTAGGACGTGACTGCTTATTGTCTGGAGAAGCTCAATAGCGCGCCGAGTCCCAAAGACAACGCGGGATATACACCGCTTCATGAGGCGTGCTCCAAGGGTCACCTAGAAATTGCGAAACTCTTGCTAGCTTACGGTGCAAACGTTAGCGAGAGTGCTAACGGTGGTATTAGGTAATACTTTCGTCAAATCTATTGCGATAACTGTTTTCGTGTTATATCGGCAAATAATTTGACGAACGTAGGTATTTACAGATCGTAATATATATTTTTGTATTATCAGGCCACTTCATGAAGCGGCAGAGAATGGTGCTACGGAGCTTGTGCGATTGCTGTTGTCATATGGTGCCGATCCATTGTTAGCTACTTATTCCGGACAAACGCCTTTGATGCTGGCTGTTGACACCGAAGCTCATTCCATTCTAGAACAGCACCTGGCTGACATCCAAGGTCGTACCACTGTACCATGGTCATTCGCCGGTCCATCTTCTGTTTTAGGTACGTCATTGCTGGCATAAGTCCTTATTCAAAATTCTCAAATGTTTATGAATATTGCATATGTATAGTCCAAGTGAATATTTTTAATTTTCTATGGACTTGTTTTTAGACCCAGAAGAGACGGGCTACAATCCACTCGATGATGTTCCATTGGACAGTCCTGAATCAGTCGAGCTAGATGATATCGAAATGGAAGTAAGCGACATCAACCTGCCTGTTCTTTTCACTCTGAACAATGATCCCGATAAGTGGGTGCTGCTTCAAGATCTCATGGCGGTTTTGAGGATAAAGAGTCGCGATGCTCTTCTCCGTCAAATTAATCCGAAAGCTCATTCTGGGCCGCCTGCGGTCGCGCATCGCGACGTTATGCGTGAGTTGAAGCTGCCAGATTTCCTGGAGCAGACTCGTTGCTGTCACCTGCTGAGCGGCGGCGAAAGGATCAACGTGCGCGGCTCCAAGGTCACTCTTATCAAGTACAACGACAAGGTGAAGTCTCTGCTGAACGTGGAGAAAGTGGTGATTAGCCTTAGGTGACAAGAGGCGTCTCTGGGGCGATCATCTCCCCAGACATCGAAACCATCGACTTCGATTCCGGCCAAGGAACATCAGAAGAAAGTTGAAGGCAAAGCTACTGTGAAACGCGAGCGGCAACAGGGAAGAAAGCGACAAGAGACTCGTAACAAAAATTCCACGGACTGAGCGGCCTGTTCTGTGGCCAATGATCTATCGAAATATAATGAAAATTAAAAAAATATGGCGATTTAAGAGTTATCGTCGAAAAATAAATAATGTTGTAAGACCAGATCGTAACTGTTTTTTGGTAACTGTTTCACGATGCGTTAAAAAGTAAAGAAGAAATAGAAGAAACAGATTTCTTGTAATATATAGACAGAATCCTAAATGACTGATGTAAATCTGTTTATTTGGAAAGCTCGTCCCTCGAAAGAAAGAAAGACTGATCGACACAACAATGAAGATCGGTGCTTTTACGTGTGTCCAAAGACTGACTTTTCGATTTGTCTTATGCTTCGAAGGTAAATCGAATCAACCAACACTGATTGAACTGATCGAATTGATTTTCTCCTCTCGATCTCTTATAGTGCAGAATGTAATGAAATGGAGCTTGACTAAAGTGATAAGAGATACGCACATAATCGGTTCCGTTCCTTTATTCAAGTGATGAATTTATCAGTCGAAATAAAGAAAGTCGGTAATACGCCGATATTCTGCCGGGAGCGTAACGCGCAATTAAACTAACTTCGAAGCACATAGCTGTGCAAATGTAGTTTTACACAAAACTATCTACTATTTAATGCGCAGCTAAGAGTGGGGAAACAGCTACCTGTGACATTATATAGCAGTATTTAATTGGGATATATACGTAATATATCCATAGGACGAGGATATTTTATTAATTCTCTTAAGGACTGAGTAAATAATCAGAAGTTCGTTAACGTAACGCTTTTAGGTGCATGAAAAGAGGGAGACATGTTGTTTGGGCGATCATGACGATGGAAAAATGAAAAATCTTTGACAGTAGATTTCTCTCAATTGTCGAATCGAGTCTCGGAATAGTAATAAAAATGACAACGTAAATAGAGAGTAATGATTATTTTAAGAGTGCGAGAAAACATAGCTGTCCGTACCAGATATATTTTTATCTCGCATGTAGCTTCAAGAAGTTTCTTCGTTTTTAAGGGGCTTCACTCTACGAGATTCGTGGAATTGGAACGAGCGCCCATGTGCATTAATATTAGTTTTTCCTCTTTGAGCTACTACAGGACACGTCGTTGGAAGACGAGAATCGACATTAAGAGAGCGTAACATAATTGAAATTGCTATCGCGAATGATAACGTTACCACAGTTTAGTCTTTGTTTTTCTTTACATTAGAGAAGAATTGTATATTATGCCGTGCAAGTTATATTTATAAAATGTGTTAATTGTCCATTGCGAATAGGTGCTTTGAAAAGCTAGATGAGTTGAATTTCAATTCATTCAGTCCGGAATAATATCTGATCCATTGAGGAGACACCATCACACGTATAAAGGTGCATATCTGTTGTCTAGTTCTATTTTTAATATTTCGCGATTTTTAATATTATATAACTATATAGTTTTGTATATTTATAAGTGTACATTGTATACATATGTACATTTATATAAATATACATAATTATAATGAGTTATGTGTGTACATGTTTATTTGTATGTATGTATACATATATACATATAAATATACATACGTTTTTGTGTGTATATATGTGATGTGTATATGTATATATACACATATTATGCGCACATATACATATATACACAAAAAATCGACTTTTAATTTATATGAAGCTTTTCGTTTTGTATAGCTTCCAGTGTAGCAATTAATTTTAATTCGGATAAAAGATAGCAGGTGTCAATGGCTCAATTCTTGTAATGTGGGAAGTGCAATTCGTGGAATAACGTTTTTGTTTCATTGATGGTCTAAATATATGATCTATTATTTCTAGAAGTGTAGAGGAGATAGGCAATTATTTTGAAGAACTAAAACGGTCGGAAAACGCCGTTTAAAAACGCTCACTGTGCAATAATATATCCGTTTTTACACTTTATTTTCAAATTATTTCTGTTTTTTGTAATCATGTCAGGATCCCAGTAAGCAAGATGTTGCAGCATGCGCACAGATTGGCAACAAATTCAGAATCCACACCAAAACCATAGCCATTTGTGCCCGCATTGAGCTCTTGTTCTGTTGACAGAGCTTACTGACAGGCAATGTGAGCAAACTCTGTCGCAACTTTTGGCAACAGATTGACAACGTCGTCTGATATAGCAGCTTCTGAGTGAAAGTTGCCTTTCTGACGTCAAAAATTTACTGCAAGATCTGCTCAGAATCTGTTTGGGCAGGTTTTAGCTATCTGGGATAATGTTAACGTGTCGTATCAGTGATCAAACACTCGCTAAGAAAATAAGTAAGATGAAAAAAGAACTTTCTTTGTAAGATATAAGAGAATGCAATTAAGTATAATAAAATATAGTAAAAATTAAAGAAATGGTTAAATTGAAAAAATATCTAATAATAAAAAAATTACATTTTTATTGCAATTAATTCGATATACAGAATACTGAGATAAAGTAGAGATAAATTGTAGCGAGTTTCGATTGCCACAGCGATGCCGTTTGATCGAAGCAATTTAGAAACGGAAATTTTATATAAGAAGTGAGAAGTTATTTTAAACTTGGACAGAACCAATTTGGGGAGGATGTATCGATTGTACTTATCGTCTCGCGTTTTTATGTTGATTTTCAGACAAATAAAGATATTTAGCATGTGCATAGGGATGTTTATGAAGCGAGACGAAAAAGAAATGCTCGGGATAGTTCGGTTTCGCTTAGGATGCCGTAATACGCGTTTATTTTGGTGTCGTGTGTAGCACAGAGGTTTCAATCGTTATAATCAGTCTCAGGGAAAAATCCACGGTGTATTCTTGGAAAATAACACTTGATGGTGTACCGACTACAGATGCGTATACCAATGCGTGTGTGCGTGCGTGCGAGCGACGCGTATCAATGCGTATGTATGTACAGTAGCTAGTTGAAGAAAACAAAAGGAGATTTTCCTGTTACGAGGGATAATTATTAAAATATCTAATTAATATTGAGTGATATTAATTAATGTTAATACGATGCGATATGTCGCGCAAGCGACGACGCGCGCACTCGGGCGGCTCCTTATAATTTTTATTTAGCTGACGATATCGAGCGGATAGGGTCGTGGTTACATTACACCGATTGTATATATCGACATATTTTCAGTAAGGAAAAACGAAATAAAGATAAAGGGAAGCGAAAACGCGGAAGAGTTACTTTTCACTCTGACAGAATGATAGGAAACCGTGATGTACGTACTGTATGTATCTTTTATTCTTAAGTAGTTAAAATGTAGATTGCGATACTTGTTTATATCAGTGTATACTATTTGTGTATAATATAAAAGCATTAACCGACCTCGAGATAGTCACGTTGTATGACATGAGATAAACTAAGTATGTATATATGTCACGTTGCGACTACTAGAAATATTATTTACTATAACTATTATACTTTACTATAACTGCTACTATCGCTACCACGACTATAGCTACTACTATCACTGCTGCTGCTGTTGCTGTTGCTGCTACTACAACTACTATTATTATCATCTACGATTACGCGCTTTTTTATTGTACCATATATGTATACATAGTAGTTAAACGATGGATGTACATTTTCTTAGTCGTGTAACATTCACACAACGCCTCTTCTTTCTATTGCCCCCCTTGTATTTATACATTAAAAAAAAACTTCTAAATGTGTTAATGCTGCTGCTTTAATGCGGATAAAGAAAAACAGAAGTTATATATAAATATATATAAATATATAAAAAAAAATATATATATATATATTTATGTATATATATATAAAAGATATGAACAAATATATAAATATAAATAAATATATATATATACAAATATATATTTTATTTCAGAGATTTAGTTCGAAACAACGTTGAAGCTGATGAACAAATTAGAGTCGTACTGTGATTCGTGTAAAGAGGAAATCGTTATTATTGTCATTGCCGTAGTCGTTACAAGCGAGTCACGATGAACCCGACGAATAACTTTCTAAATAAAGAAAACAATATTTGTGATTTTTTTTCGCTAATAACAATAACGAGTTATCCGATCGATGTAATAAAAACAAGTATTTTTACTGAAACTTTTATTCCTGTCCACCAACCCTAGTCACCTATTCGCTAAAACGCTGAAAACTATGTTAAATGTAACAAGATATTTTAATACTTTTTTGGTTTTTTCCTATGTCTCAACTTTGTAAAATTTACATTTTTATTTTTATGTATAACAGAAGATGCAGTATTAAAAATGATAATTAAGCTATAATATGTAACATAATTTTAACTTAATATTCATTTTGAAGATACCAAGTATATATTGTCATTTATATACAAATATGAAAGTAAATTATTCTACGTCAGAATATCCATTTATCTTTACGATATAACGTCATCTTAATATTTTTATCGTAATATCCCGTATTCTCTACAAAAAGATGAAAAAAGTGGGAAGGGGATACACGGACCACCAGTAGTAAAATTGGTAAAACGTTTATTAACTATTTAAAAACGATGAAACAAGGTGAACATGAGATTGACAATTTAATAAGTAATATTATTAAATAGACTATAGAGGTGTATAATAGGTGTCTGCGGTAATTATTCTCTTTATATACGGTCTTTTACATCGAGACAGATATCTTTCAACTCGGCGAAGCCAGGCCTTCTGTCCTTCAGGCACAAGCCGAAGCTCGTCGCTTCGTACCTCGTTCTATCTCGTATAATAATAATCGCGCTTAATAATAATCTAGGACTCGCGGTAGGGAAAAAAAATAGCCCGAAAGCGTGTCCGCGCGATATTATCATTTCCCCGCGAGTGAACGTTACTACGAAATAAGAGAAAGAAAACGTTCGGCTCTATTCCTGGCGACAGAAGTGATCGTCGCGTGTCGCAAACGCATACCTTGGCTACATCATCATTATCATCATCATCGTCATCATCATTTATCATTATCATCATCGCCATTGTCCCTCGTAATCGCGATTCGCGTATTCATATCACGACAACAATGCGGCCTATATTACAATTAAATTATCGTAATGACACCTCGTGTTTACAACAATTCGATTTCCCGCTCGTGTTACATTCAGGGAGAATCAATTATCGTACCTTCTCTCGCGCATGATTAATGCTAACGGAAACGGAAGGAGCAAGCGGACAAAGCATTGTGTGTGGTGGCACGTGATCGCGAGAGCTCGCAGCCCGACGAACGAGCGAAGGCCAAGCGAGGGAATTTTTCTATTGACAGCCGCATTCTGGACGCGAGTTCATCTGATGAGGAATCTTCGCTGATTGTTCGGCAAATTCAGTTCTCAGTACTCCACGACGGATCCCGATTGGCCGCATCTGCGCTACTTCTTTTCTTTTACGAATCGCCAGTTTGTCCGTTCGCGCCTTTCGCGACTCCCCCGTGTAATAAGTACATCACACATCGAACTTCTTTCTCTTTCTCCCCTTCAGCCGGATGCACCGAAGACATCGTGCAAGCTAGATCTCACGTTCGATCAGCGACGACTGCTGACCCGGTGCCAAGAACTATATCTTAAGATACGAAGGAGCGGCATACACCTACGCTCGCGCCGAAGCTCTTCACGGGAGCACGACTGATCGGCGTGACAATTCCTTTATCTTGTCACGATGCTGAGTGACACCATGGGTAGCCGAGACGCGCGCGAAAGAAAAACCTTATCAGGCTCTTCCTTCCTCTAACATCTCTTCTACGATCCTTATCTTCACCTACTACGCCCCTCCGTCTCAGTACACGCGAGTATATAATATGTATTTACAATAATATCTACTATAATAATAATTTAGTAGTGATATTTAAATTACAATAGTGTTTTTTTTTTGCTCTTTCTTTCTGTCTCTCTTTCTCTCGTTTTTTCTGTTTTTTCTCCCCTCGCATCGCCCATTCCACAAATATAATGTTGCACATAACCCAGTTACTGGCTTAGTCATCTAGCTGTACAAAACATTATATATCGTTATGTATATCTAGCATCTAAAGATTTGTCCTGTGAGGTTTCTTTTCTCTTTTTTTCTTGCTTTTTCTTTTTTACTGTTTCTTTTAATCCTGTGAGGTTCATTAACACATACACAACGTCATTGGGGCTACGGTTTTTTCTCCTACCAGCGGTTTCCCCCCTTTTCCATCGAGTTCATCGAATTCGCTCGACGTTCTCGGCGCGCTAACTGCGCTTAAGTACATTAAAAAATACCGCGCTCGAGTATAACCGAAAAAGCGCTCGCACCTCGCAGCTGATAGCTCAGTTGAGTTTGAGAAAACTCTTCCGAGTTGTCCGCCAACTTTCGGTTTCGGCATCATACCCTGATCTAATCTTCTCGAGCAATTGTACAACGCCTCTAAATTCTCTCGCGAGATTAATTAATAAAATTAGGGACGATCACACACGAATAATCGACAATCATGCGATAAAACTTACGAATTTTTTCCTGTCATTTTTCTATCAGAAACATGGGTCGCGATAAAATTCAACACGATGAGCACGCGCGAGTGTACTCACTTCTCCTTTCCCCCTCTCTCTCATTCGATTTTGAACTTAGAAGAGAATAAATCACGCGTCCCGATTGACTTTATCAATTCTCTTCGGGGAAATGGTCGGTGATATCGTGTACCCCATCGTTTAAGTATTCTTTCGGCTTAAATCTCTGCGGCGATTTACGTCGTGTTACGCGTCTTAAGTAGGGACTTTGTGCTACTTGGATATGGGATACGGGAGGGAAGGAGGGATTAGGAAAGGATGTTAGAGCATTACTTAATCGTATCTATCGTGAATAATTAAGCTTGTCGCCTCGGTGGCAGGGTCCAGGCGTTGGGCCCGTGCTGAGCGTGGGGGGCAGGACGTCACAGCTGCTGGTCCCTGCAGGGAACCCAGATGTTCGGTCCTGATTGCTCGGAGATGACCTCCTTCACCTTCACATATATCTCTTCGGGAGTGTCTCCTTGAACGACGGCTGTAAGCAAAGTACAGCGGCGGGTTAATTTACGCCAGAGAATAATTTAATTACACGAGAATATTTAAAGTGTTTGTTATTTCTTCCACGATTTTTTCATCTTAATTGCCTTTGTATGAATTTCCATAAGCTGCATTAGACTGCTTAATTTGTTATGAGCATTTTGATAATCAAAAATTAATAAAGAATAATATTACAGTGTGTTCGGCTGAATTTTATTTATAAAATCGAATTTAACAGAAAGTCTATTGTAAATTTGTTTATTTAAATGTAAACGAGACGTACCAGTAAAATATTCACCAAATTCTTGTTCCATCTTGAGAGCACGCTCGTACGTCTTCTTCGCTTGCTCCTCGGTCATCCTCTTGTTCATCTCCCTGTAAAATCAGAAGCATCAGATTTAATAGAATAGATAATAACGAAATCTTTTGATATAAAAAATCAAACGAATGATTACTGAACTCACATGACAGACTCTACTGATTTCGGCTTGATGAAGATGGCAACAGGATAGAGTTGTGCTACTTGTAACCTCTTGATAGCATTCCCACTCACATCAAGAATACAGTGCTTGCCCTGAAAGCAACAATTGCAAACATTTTTTCGTGATTCCTCATTGATATAATACAATATAAAACGTAAGTAAAAAATCTGGGAAATCGATTTTGTGTTACCAAAATTGTGCATACCTTTTCAGCCACCTCTCGCACAGACGCGACAGATGTTCCGTAAAGATTGTCGTTATATTGTCCAGCCTCTATGAACAAATGATTCTGTATGTCCCTCTCCATCTGCTCCCTCGACGCCACGAAGTGATAATCTCGTCCATCCACTTCGTACTCTCTTCTACTCCTAGTAGTGTCTGCAGGCAAACGGACAAAGATCGATATACAGTGCCGCAGGAAGGAGATTATTATCAGTTATTATAAGCATCAGATTATCGAATAACTTACGTGGAACACAGCTGCCGAATTTATCAGGGAACTCGGAGATGAGATCATCGTTGATGCGGTCCTTGAGCGGTCCGAGAACGATCACGGGACGCGTGTACTGTATCGTCAACTGCTGTACGGCCTCGTACGAAAGCACGTTCTCTTCGCTGCCTGTAATCGTTTTAATCGAATGTATATGGACAACTCATCGACGCGCCCCCTCCCGAAGACCCGAAAAGGGAGGCTCGTCGTAGTCGGTTCGTCATTACATCTCCTTCAACAACGCACAAATCCGCTCAGACCCACTCAGACAGCAGAAAAAAGAAAAAAAGCGACAACACTATCATCCAAGAAGAGAACAAACATGATCCGAGCGGCCCTCCTGCCGACCCCGCTTCCGAAAGGATAGGCTCTCTGACGACGGTCCCCCGTTGATATCATTGATTAATTGACACTTCCACGAAACGGACGCGGGACAATGTTACACACAGAGCGATATGCGTTCATCGGAGTCACTTGAAACAATCTCTGGCTGGTGACTCGATCAGCAGACCAGTCATCAGCGACAATCCTTCAACTGTCTCAAGCGTACTCCGGTTCTTGGCTCCATTGGCATTTCGGACAAGTACAACATTTCTCTTGTAGAACGAATTACGAGCATGCTCTCAGCGTTTGAGTGAAATCGAAAGCAAGGGAGGCAAGCTATACCTCTTAATGACTAGAAAATTTAAGCGATCCAGGGACGTCGGGGGGTGCAAGTGACGTTAGTATGTACAGCGACTATATAAACCAGTACTCTGCAAAGAAAGAGAGAAAGAGAGAAAGAGGAGAAACAGAGAAATAAAAAGAAAGAGACAGATAGAGGAAAGTTGGGGTGTCCATTCGTAATCAATATCACGCGCCGCTAACATATGTTACTAACTCGATATTAATGCGGCCACGTCGCTTCTTCCCGGGTATCAATCGCGACAATCGAATATGTGATTTTTCAGAGCGCGAGGAAGAGAAGCACGCCGCCGCGTTGCCGGTGCGACGGGAAGAAGCGACGCGATTTCTTCGTCTATTTGAGCGCCCTAATTGCGTTCTGCTGCTGTTAATGTCTACAGGCTCTACGACGAGAGGAGAAGGAAGTGGAGAGAAAAGAAAAAGAAAACGAGAAAACACATCGTGATAGCGGCACGTCGCGCGGCCGTCTTAATTGCGCGCGAGACGCGTCTCGACGGTAATTCAACGCGACGAGCAGCCCGAAGGAAATTAACGTTGGTCGAAGGAGACAGACGTTTCTCGATTAGTGTCTTAAATCGGCGCATTGTACTCGCGATTGCTTTTCGATTTCGATCGCAACTTTTTTCGTCGGGAAATAAATTTGGTGAGAAGTTACAGAGAGATCGACGAACCGTTGTGTTAACTCGTGACGTTACGCATCGTACGATAATGTAAAATCGATAATAGCGAAAACACGATGAGAATATCGACATTATCTTTCCCCAAATTATATTTGTCTATTGTAGCAATCGCGGCAGTGTTTACACGAATTTCGCGATCTTGATCCGCGTCCAATTTGCGTATAACAGCCGGGAGCATTATTAGTGGAAAATCGGAAGATCGATATCAGGGATCGTTAGCTGACACAGGGATTGCAAACAACATTATTCAGTTATTCACCCTCACGAATATATATATATATTTTTTTTTTCCCGGGATAATATGCCCGTCGACAGGGTTACAAATCGTCTGCGATCTGCGTTAGTTTTCTATTATAGGAACAAATCGGCTTTTGCGTGCGCGCGCCGCGCCCACACTACGGTTCACACATTTGCTCTCGGCTACGACTTACTAAGCTCGTCATTGGGCTCGTCGGCCTCCTTTTCCAGATAAACTAACGTGAGTTCCTCCATATACGGCAGCTGAACGCGATACAAAATTTCTCTACTCCCTGCAGCGCAAGACAAATCTTAAATGAATAAGAAACAGAGAGAGAGATGGAGATAAAAAGAGAGATTGAAGGGCAATATACGTGATGAATGAAAAACGAGTGATGAATGGCGGCGACGGAGGAAGAGTATCGGACAATTAAGGTCCTAAGATGAGACTATAAAAGAGTGGAGTACGAAATTTCGCGGATGGGCAACGCGCTCGTGTCGAGTCGCTCTCGGTAATCGGCGAATTCAACTCGAAATTATATTGGCAAATATAATACCTATTTCAAATTTATAGGATAATAAATTCTGCTTTTATAGAGACATTATGTGTGGCAAATAAAAAAAAAACTTATTCTTCATTAATCGTTCTATCACGGGCAACGTCCATCCCAATATATGTAGACGTAAATACATGATAACTTCGAGTAAATTAAAGTAATGTTTACATGTGTAAACTGAAAATTTTAACAAGTAAAACATTAAACTGTACTTCCATTTTTTGTTTTTTTTTTTAGTTTTCCAAAGTTTCTCCAAAAATTTATAGCTAACGACGCCAGTGCTATTCTGTTGCGTATTAATGCTCACTAGTGCAGACCACCTACACGGAAAAAAAATGATGTTGTATCAACAGCATCATTTTTTGTATCAACAGCATCAGTGTTATTGAGATAAAATTTATTGCAACATCAATATTAATGAACAAAAAACATCAGATAATTGTTTTAACAATTTAAATATTTGATCCAATAATATCCAATTGAATTAACTATTTATGCTTGTGGCAGCCTGTGACGTCGACGTTTAATTGAAGCAATTTCATTTTTTTCCGTGTATTCTTTAGGCTTGAATAAATTTCTCATGTGTATGCTTTAACTATAGGAACCTCGTCATTATTAACTAATGAAGATTTCGAGTTGACCTTTCGTCTCGTATGAATATGCATACTGCCATTGAAACAAAACAATAGGTATGCTATAACTACCCATGGCAACGTAACAATAAAGGCCGACATCATATATATTATATAGATTTGGTTGTTGAATTATTGCTGGTAAATGAACGCAAGCGTGATCGATCATCTCTCGCAAGGATGAAATATGGTGGACGAATAGAGGGATGAGATTTCCGGTCAGAACATTTCACAAATACTATAATTGTAAAATTTGAAATGTCATTGTTATGCATTTTCGACAAATTCTGCAATGCTGAATATTTTCTAACTACGTGAACGTGAATATCAAGCGATATTTATTTCATGTTAAATAATATTGTAGCAGGTATAATGAACGTTAACACACGATAATTAACACTAATGTAATTCTTGTATGAATATTAATTATATTAACTTATCCGAGCACGTGCGTAATTGCGAAACAATATCGTGACCGAAATTCATTATCCCACGTGACTGACCCAGGCAATACGATATCTCTTCAGTGTGAGGAAGAGTATTTAGGAGAGATATGTACAGAGAGAGAAAAAGAAAAGAAATAGAAAGATAGATAGACAGAGAAAAGGGAAAGGAGGGTGGAACTAAAGGTAGCGAGATAGAAAGAGCGGGAGCGAAGAGAGAAGAGAGAGACATGATTACCTTCAGTGTTAGTGTCGTCCTGGGTGTAGCACAGCATGAATGCTAGAACATAACAAGTTGAATACATTTCAGTATACGTTGCGTACTAGGTAAGCGGCCGTTAATTATCGCTAGAATTAATTAGAAGCGCTATAGACTCTCGAGGACTCTCCTAATGTGCGTGCGCGATTCCGATGCAACGCACGAGATGGATTCGATGGACCATGAAGATGCGAGTGTGTTTGCAGATTCGAGACGCGAACAGATTCGAATCGGTGCCGAATTATTCCCCTTCCTTGGAGTCGTGATTTAATTAATCGTCATAACCGAAGATCTCGCAAGGGATGCAACATCCCGTCGTGCAATAAATCACAGAACGTTTGAATGTTATTTGTCGCGTTATATGTCTGTGAAAACTGATCGATTACATGAATCGAAGAATTTTTATTACTTGAAAAAATTTATGGAGATCTCAAAAATATAATTTGCCGATTATGATCGTGCACAGATTCAAAGATTTGCAGAATTATGCAATAGCAAAGCATTACGTTAGAGATATAATGCAAGCGCAGTTTATATATCATCAAAGTGTTTTTTTTTTCTCTCACGACATCGATGGATAAAAGTCTCGCTCGCTACGGAGACACTCATGCTCGAGAGACTCATCGCGTCTGTGATACGAAGGAAAACAAAAAAAGAAACAGTATATATCAGCTGTGTGTACAACTCAAGACTGGTAACGCTCTTCCTTTTACCGTCAGCTAAGTGTTAAGAAGCGTGTGTGTACCTTCCAGCTCGTCAGATTAGAGACCGAATCGCGTGTTATGTCGCTCGAGGAGCGAGATTTCTTCACGATCTAACACAATGAGAATGCGACGTACATGCATCTAGCACTGTAAATATTTCTTTCTCGGTTTTACCGATTCCTGAGGTATTTCGCTGAATGCATCTGTGGATGGAGGATGATGTGTTTCGTGACACGATTTTTTGAGATGAATGGGGGATGTGTCTCTATCGCATCAACTATCCTTTCGTGGAAGAAAGAAAAAATAAAGAAAGAGAGAAAAGAATGCCAGCTACTGCTGAGAGGAACATCGCTCTACCGTGCTGGACCGTTTTTACTACGGACTACCTGTGAACCTCTAATAAAGAAAAGCCGAAAGTTAGAAGCGGAATCGAGAACGGAGATAAGAGCGTGTCGGTCGGGGTGTTAGTTTTAGAGATTCTACGCGTGGCAGAAAAGTTCAAAGTGCAGTGTGCATGCGCAGGCGAGGTCGGAGGACGCAAACGAAGCTGCTGCAACTGCTGAATGATGCGCAGTGGTTGCCCGCGCGCGATGCAACATTGCGAGATTCAACCTCGGCCAAAACCCGAATTCGATCCGAGACTAGGTGAATTACGCTTCGTTAAAAACAAATACTGTAAACAAACAATTTCATTCATTGTAATATAAAATGAGATCTTGCACTCTCATTTTTTTAATTCTGGCGATCATCGTTGTACGTTAACAATGTATTTCATTGAAAATGGAGAATCAGAAAAAAAGATTCTTTATATTATACATAAATTACTTTATTTAGTTTGATATATCGCTAGAATTTCGTCCCAAATCGCGTGTTTTGGCGTGGATTGCAAAGCTTGCGTCACTGCTGGCGTCATTGTGTATGAGAAATGGCGAAAGCGCAACATTTACAGAGCTTATTACTCTTAATTAAGATACTTACGGGTGGGATCGTTCTCATTCTCGGGTGTGGTGGGTGTTCCTACATAAGCAAGCAAAACAAAAACACATGTCACGTTTTCACATCGTAAAACACAAAAGCTCATTCGGGACTTGGGCATGTCTGACCGGGCTCACCGCTCCGGAAGTCGGGACTTCATATCAATAGTATTTAAATAGTATTACGAGCCGAATTTCCAACTTTTTTTATGATTGCGCGCATTTCAAAATTTTAAAAAAATTTTAAATAGTAATTACCAAAAATTGTCAATGCATTTAAAATTTAGGTGAACTGGAATTGTAGGACACAAACGCGAGTAAAGTTTACTTTACTAGTATAAACGACGAAGAAGAATATCTCTTCAATATTGACAATATTTTTAGTTACAATGTCCTCAGTCAAACTTTCTGAGCTTGTTGCAGGACGTTAAATTATAAATTATTAATAAAAATTGAACCCATTGATTGTGAAGACTGCGGCCTGAGTCTTGAGGGTGAGAAATAACTTCGTAATTCAGCGGTTAAATCGCACGGTATAAGTATAGGCGAATACATACGGCGAGAAAAAACACGTAAAACACAATAAATATGGGGCCAGAACATGCACAGAACGTGCAGGAGGGGCAAGGGAATGACAATTATATTCTAGACACTCACGTTCCTGATCGGAGCCATCCTCAGACTTATCGTCTTTACTCTTCATGAATGGGAACTTTCTGCTAAACGAGAAGTTCTTCTTCTTCCGGTCTAATGTTGATTGCTGAAATCAACAAGTTTACTGCGATGCGATCGACAAATCACATAGTTCGTAATTTTGTGCGCTGATAAATCCATTCGCGAGAAACAATTTTATCAAATATCTACGATTTTTGAAAGAAATAAAGTAAAAACATTCAGTTAAATTAATCAAATTTGTTACAACAAATCTGAAAGCATTAAATTATATATTTATAAATATATTAAGTTCTACGGATTTTTTATTTAGATGCAATGTTTATGCAATCCTTAAAATCAATCTGTTCCATCATAATTCGCAATTCGTTGTTAATTTCAGAGAAATCGAATACTTTTTAGAGAGGAAATATCACGGTTGCAATGTTTGTTATGCGAATTTGAAATTAGTTCTTTGGCCATATTAAATTTGCAAGCGAAAACGGCCATGTAGCTATCGATCGTGATGAATATTTAATTAGACATCTCTCCTCATTAGTGTTAATGAGTCTGGATGAAACATTGTCGAATGGACACATTTTTTCAATTATGCATGTTACGAATTATTTCGCATCGCGAGAATGTCGCGGAACCGTCAGTTTAGACTGTAAAGACACTTTATTAAAAATATTCTAGTAAATTTCAAGACAACAAAGTGACAATATCAATTCCTTTATCACTTTAATCAGATTCTATGATTTAATATTTTATTTCGAGTATTCTCGAGATGAGAAATCAAACTGATTATCGAAAAACAATATCGAGATAGGAGAGGAACAAAATATCTTGTTAAAGATAAAAATACACGTGTCGTTAAATTGTATGACAATTTTCGTACAAATACGAGTCAATGCTTGAATTTTTTACGAAAGATTTGTATCTATAATCTATAAAATCCTTTCAAATAAAATCGTGTCGTATTATATTAGTTCGTTATTTTCGGAGAAATTAGGCGCTTTGAGAAATTCCCGTCATACTCACCTTGTCAAGAATGACCGGCATGTGTCCCTGGAACTTGACAGAGCGGTCTCTGGCACGCTGCTTACGCTCCCATCGCCTGCGCGAGGGTATTATGCCCAGACCTTCTTCCTCGCCCTGTGGGGTGACTCTTCTCGCCTGCCACCATTCGTCGTCGCTGGCGTTCGTCACGTGCAAGATCTCGCCGTAACGGAACGCCAAGCCGCGGCTCGGCAGACCATCGTCTTTGTTGGGGTCGTAATCGAACAACGCTCTTTCGGGAGAAAATATCGTAACGTTTACCTTCGTATTTTATGTATACGCGAGGCTACTTGTTAATTAATTTAATTGCGTTTAAACAATTTCGACATCGGGGCTCTGCGCCATGTCGAAGTCGTTTAAATGCAGATAATTAACACTCTGCGAATGATTAAGCGATGAAAGATAATCGCGGAAGTAATAAACGCGCGCGGAATTACCTCACGTAGAGTGATTTCTTCTGGGAGGTCCTCATGAGGGTGCCTGTCATCACATTCTGTTGCGAGATTTGTTGTTTAAGATCCTGGATCTTCGCCTCAAATCTATTATAGTCCTCGGGTTTGTATTGCACCACGATTGTCACTGTTTGCCCAGTACCCTGAATACCGCGTGAATTAAAAATAAATCGTATGCATAATTTTCGACGAATCGTAACTTTCAAACAATTTTTTGAGGGATAATTTGCAAACACCAAAATGTCGTGTCTCACCATTCTTCGATTATTTAGTATTTTAATTCGAATTTCGGTCAACGAGGTATTTTATACTAAATTCTTTTTAATGAATTATATATCTTTGCCGATACTAAAGTGGCTTCGTGAATTTTTCTGATGATTACACACGTTTAATAAGCATCAGTTGAAGATCTCTTACCTTGAGAGCCGCGGCGGCTTCCTCGTGGGTGGCTGTTCGGAGATTGATACCATTAACGCTCAATATCTGATCGCCTCTGCGTAATTCACCGCTGAGATCGGCCGGACCACCGGCTAAAATAAACGAGATAAAGATGCCCTCGCCATCTTCACCGCCAACGATGTTGAAGCCCAGACCAGAGGAGCCTTTATTCAATACGACGGTGCGCACCTCCCTGAAAAATTAAAAGAGATGGCCCATATTCAACACCGAAAGTATTCGCAAAAGTGTAAAATCGCTATTAAGTATAATCGTATGACATATTTCTATTAAAAAAATTTCCCGAGATAAGGTCAGTTAATTTCCGTCGCAACCCAAGCGCGCCGAGAAGATAAAACTGATTTATAAATATTTATAAATCATAGACAAGCGTGGATGTTCTCAATTTCAGATTTACGCCCAGATACGTTTCGCGTGTCAACGCGCTCGTATTTGAATCGCGAATCAAAATGCAAATTTCTGCGATTCTTATAAGCGCGATTATCACGTTAATTAGAAGATTCCGTCGGGAAATTCGTGCCACACGGTTCTCGCGAATTTGAAGTGTACTCCGTCATAACGAGACGTATTATGCGATGAGGACTCGCGCGAATGATGGCATTCTGAGTACGCACTGTACTGTTCCACTCTTATTGAAGAAATATAGGGATTTCATTAAAATAACACTGGGGATCGACAAACATATTCGGTTGCGAATGGCATCAATTAATCTCAAAATCATAACTTTAATCATCGTAAAATTTTAACGAACTATACATAGATTTCTCGCGGAGAACGAAATTATTGATCAATTTTCTAATGTGATTCATTATATAGTCGTATAACAAAAACACATTGCGCACGTGCATGAATTAATTATTCGATATTTTTTGCTACCTAAAAAAAAGAAAGATAAAAAAGGCACTGCACAAAGGTCATTTTTTTCCGGAAACTTTATCAAAACAGTTTTTCACATAGTCGCTTTTTGAGATCGTAAATGATGAATGCCAGCAGCCCAATAATAGCAATCACACCGTGAATTCATATAAACGGCATATGAGCGTGACGCAAAAGCGCGTCGATCAATGAAAATGCCCTACGTAAGCGCTTACGCATCGGGCGGCCGACTCGGCGATACACTAATCCATGTGGTTACGCCCTGCTTACACACGCACACATACATATATGTAGCATGTATAAACAAACTAAAGAATTCAATTCGTGGAGGTTTACTAATACACAAGCTAGAAAAAGCGTCTCGGCCATTCTGGCGCCAACTCTGCTACGTTCGACGATAAAATAGCAGAATAACTTTTCAAATGCGACATTCGCGTTATTCCTTTATCGCCGTTTGAAAATCTTTTTTATTTATGGGCATGCTTGACGTAGAATGTCCATTCAATTCCAAGAGGGAGGAGCGAAAACACGAGGGTTGCGCGTCATCACTATCGTCCAGGATGGTTGCATAACGTATAACGCGAAAATATCCGCCAACGACGTACGTGCAACCTCGAGGCGCAATTGCTCGACGACGGCAACGACGGCGACGACGGCTCTCTCTTGCTCGCGTTAACGAAGACCTCGAACGGTTGGTACGTTGCCGCCGGGGACACAAGTTAAAGTTCACGTTACACCACTGTCGGTTCGCGAGACAGCTACGAGCGCATCCGGCTGCCTGCCCTTCGCTTATCTTAATGCCTAACGGATGCAATTCGTCCTTGTGTGGCGGTACCCGAAACGTCTATTATAAAATATAGCGATGCCATGTTTTACACAGATCAAAAACGTTGCAATTATTATTAAAATATTCTATTTAATACAAAAAATTATTTTATTAATAAAATATTATTATTTCGACAAGTTATATTGTTAATAATGTAATAAAAATAGTGATGTAATATTTCGTAGTTAATTCCTTGTATTATCATGGCGCGTGAAAAAATAACTCGTGTTCTTAGTGTGAATACCAATGAGTCTTGCTACCAATAAAAAGAATAGGATTCTACAAAAGAGATCGGACAGTTTGACACGCCTCAGGGAGACGTTTTGTGGCATTATCGTCCTTTTATTGTCGACACAGATCGAAATGAGTCAATTCTGATTTGCAATACGTTTCTTCACTTCTATTGCAATAATACAAAAATAACAATCGTGATAACAAGTTAAATTTAATAAGTTATTCTTTGGTCTACTATTATTAAAAAATGTTAAAGAAGAGAAATAATGGTTAGGTGTTCCAGAAAAGGATAAAAGACTGTACAAAGGAGACATGAAAAAAAAGAAATTATCGAGATGATTTCATCTTCAGCATAATCTGTTAAATAGTTTCTTTCCTTCACAGCAAACGTAACATCTCTCATAACGAAATTCAAGATTTTGGCGTGCCACTGTATATAATATAATTAGCTAAACGACAACAGAGTTTAGTAGAATCACTATTCGTTAATAGTTTCAACGTGAATAGAAAATGTCTTATAAAAAGTTCGAGAGAAAGTATATCGTAAGAGAAACGAGTACCTTCTTATCTCAACTAATCTTATCACATCTAATTTATTGAGTCGTTCGGTGATTGATACAGCTGTCGAATCGCTCCATCCATCGCATTCCCGAGATTCTCCGTCGCGATTGGCTCGTGCTAAACGGGGATTTACGCGTCTCTGCGTGGTGGAGGAGAATGCGCACCGGATGCGCGTAGACGTCCGCGGCATATGTTTCCGCCAGTCGGACACGCGCGTCAACGTTGACGCGTGTCGCTAACTGGTCGTGTCTGCGGTACAGAGCGCATTATCTATCGTGTGCTCTCGATTCGAGGCTTTAATTACGCGTATTCGGAACGCGTGCCGACCCCCTTTCGTGACGGATATACGTTCGTCGCAGGAAACAGATTTTCCACTATTGCGATATTGCGTAATATATAAAGGGGGAAATGGGAGGTTTATTCCGCGCTCGCGCGGGAATACTTCACGACTAGTACTTTACGACAAATCATGGCAATGCGACAACTTGAGACATTTCTGTAGTTTAGGAATCTGACTTGTAGCACAGTAATGTTGTCTAACAACGCACGCAAGAGCGATTCAAAATCGCGGACAAATAAAATAAGTATTACTTCATCGTTGAATCTATAATAGATATGACGTAATAATATATTAGATATGTGTAGAAATTAATTTGTAGAAATGTACGTCGAGATGTAACCAGCTAATAGAACTTCAACTGAAACCAAACAAAATTTGAGAATAATCCGCTAATTAATCGTTTCCGAAAAATATTCGGCTTTTTATTTTTTGTAAATTTTTTGTACGATTTTTATACAGATCACGGAATCACATAAATATCAAGATATCAATGTTAAAAGTGAATTGGCTACATTTAAAGCGGATGTTCAAATCGGACGATCATTCGATACACGCAAAGTTTTCTCGTACGTGAACATACATTCAAAGATAAATTAAGGTCAATATTGAAAATGTAAGCAAAATTAATACATATCAAAATCACATGTAGGTTGTCAGTTTTAGACTGTCGAGATATTAAAGATCCTATATTTTCGTAATCCTATAAAGAATTTAGCTTATAAAATAGAAAGCTAAATATATCAGGATTATAAATTGAAAAGGATTATAGATTAGGTTATAGATTTATTAAGAATTTTTCATTGTTTTAATGAATTCTTTTAGCCAGTTACGTCTTGTTTTGCAGTTCTGAAACGCTATATATAGGACAACTTGTATGTTTCTTCTTTATCCACTTGCCGGGGTTTCGTTTATTCATCAGAAGATCACGCAGCAATCGCGCAAATTACTGTTTGCTGTCAACCCTGAAAACGTTCTCCGTTTTTTCCTCGCTTTACGACCAAGAGTAATTCCGCCTAATGTAATATGTATAGTAACGGTACCAAACAACACACACACTCTCTCATACCATTTGAATCGTATCCCTCGCTGCTAGAGCACTCCACTCTCCCCATTTTATCATCGAGGCAAACATCAACGAGGATAGCGTCTCGCGCATCTAGTCTTACATGTGTCCATGTCAATAACGCACTCGATTTCGCCAGTAAACAAGCGCAATTTCTCATTCACCATGTCTGATTTTTCATCTTCTGGTCGCGACGAACAGCGCGATTTATCTCAACGAACGAACAAACGATCGCGCGCTCGTCCTCGATCCACTCGCACTCGCGCACTCGAGGACGGACGATTCCGCAAGGGACGCGCACCTGTTCCTCCGCAGCGCGGAATGACGGAACGATGACGTAACGCCGCTGCGGTTCCGCTGCGGAAGGACGAATCTCGTCGCCGATGCACTCTCGTCGATAGTCAGCGCGTATCAGCGAACATCCCGGGTCCCGATCGATCGCGATCGCGGGGGTCGATCGATCGCGGAAGCGGAAGGTGAGCGGCGGTGAACGAAAAAGCAGGAGAGAAAGAGAGAGACGAGAGAGACAGAGAGAGTACAGAGAGACGGAGCAAGGGCGAAATGACGCGCGATCTCTCGGACCAGCTGGCGCGACGTTGTTGCTGGTTCTCTCTCCCTCCGTGCTCTCCTTCGACCGCGAATCAACGACGACGTCCCGACGTCGGTTGGGGGCGTCGCGACGGATTAAAGGCCGCGGAGCATAGGTGGCCGCCGTCGTGTCGTGTCGCCATGCGCCGCGCCGCCGAGGCGGCCACTGCGAACTATCGTCAGGATCGATAGAAATAAGCTGACTCTCTCTGGCGCGCGCTGCAACTCCGCGTCGCAACCCTCTTTTCACCACCGCCTCGCAGCACCACCATCATCCACTGCCACCGCCACTACCGCCGCCGCTCTTTCGGAAAACTGGGGCAACCCGCTAAACTTTCAGCCCTTTTCGCACGGTCATTCTCAAGGCCTGATATCTAAACATATCGGCGAAAAAATATTGCTCGCGCATTGAAAAGTAAAGAATGATGCAGAAATAGATGTGGATAAAGATAGCAAGATATATTTATCCTACCCCTGGAATAAAATTTCTTAGATTATACGGAAAGATTTTTATTTAAAAAAAAACGGGATGAAAAAAGAGAGCGTAATATAGAGCGGAGATGGCAGAGATGGATGAAATGTATATAGAAAGTGGAATAGCAATTATGAGAGAATATTATATAATATGAATAAAAATTAGGAATATCAAAAAATATAGAAAAAACAATGTTGAATTATGAGAAAATA